CTTCAGAAAAAGCTTGTCTACACAGAAACTAACCCAAGCCAACATCTACCGTAAGAGAGAGCAAAGAGGAGACAAGGATGGGAGAGCAGACAAATTCACCCCTTTTCAGGCTGTGTTCCTCAGGTTTTGTTGCTCATCCTCAGTTCAGCCCAAGGGAATAGTCACCAATGGCATTTTCCTCACTTTGTATAGTGCAAGCGGACAGCATTTGGGTCTCAAGCCTTTGACGATTCCTCTGAGGGTGGATATATACTTTTCCAAAACAAGGATTCATCCTCCCTAGGAAAGAAAAACCAGCAGTCCAAATCAGAGTTAGAGAATCAAATATATTTACATAAACTATATAACACCTCATGATAATAAAATAAATAACGAATGGAATTTACGATTGGGTAAATTATAATAATAAAATGTGAACTATTTATGCAAACCAAAATTCTTCACCTCCTAGAGGCAAATACTCAGAGCATGGAGAAACTCTTTCGAGGTGCACGGTGGGGCTGACAGCAAGCAGCAGCTCCACACCTTTCCCCAGGAAGGTGTAAGAGAAGGACAGGCTGGCACACCTGGAAGCACATCAAGTAGTTTTCCCAGCTGTTAGTGTGGGTTACTGTGCCCTGGCTATTATCCCTGGCTCCCGGCAGAGTTGCTGGTCACCATGCCCCAATATGCAGGTTATTGTTTCCAGTTTCTGTTGAGCATTGGCGGGCTTTGCTGCCACAGTCGCTTCTTCTCTCCTCCCACGTGAATTGCTGAAGATTAAGGAGGAAGGCAGCAGCCCAGAGGCAGGCAAAATAAAAGGCAGCAAGGAGCCTTGTGGCCTACCTGCTTTCTTTTTCTTCTCTCTCTAAGGCAGAAGGTTCCTCAGCATGAGCAAGCCAAAATGTCACTTGGCATCAGTACCAAAGATAAATGTCCGTGTTTTCCCTGGCAGTTAGAAACAAAATGTTTCCAAGTGTCCCAGGAGACTTTTCTCTTGGATGAGGATGGCCTCCCCGCTGTGTAGGTTCCTCACCCGTCCCCCTCTCCTCTGGCTGTGCATCCCCCCCCGGAGGGCAGGTGAGCAGGGTTTTGCTTCCCTGCTCTTGCAGCAGGGGAGCCCCCAGAGCTGCCCTGGCGCTGGGGGTACAGCTGCCCCCTGGCATGTGCTCCCCGAGGGGTGCTGCACGCAGGAGCACGCGTGCGCACGGGCAAGAGCAGCCGCAGCAACGTCGCCTGCCTGATAAAGCCACCCCGAGCTCCTTGGTCACTGTGGGGTACCCCTACACAAAGTACAGCAGGCTAACATGATTCAGAGTAACCAGAGAAGACGATTTACAGTCCTGCCTCTTTTGAATGCTGCAGAAAGAAAGAAAAGCCTTATGGCAAGTTGGAGCAGTCTGTGAAGTGTAGCAGGGTAAATACCTCTTTGCAAGCAGCAGCTGAAACAAAAACAGGATCAGCAGCTGCTTTCCCCACCTCACAACTCATCCAGCCTACTCCAGATTGAGCTCCGGGCTGCTGCCAGGTTCTCCTCCTTTGGAGGAAAATTCTTAGCAGTTTGATCAACAGAGATCACTCCACAGCATCCTCTGGAGGAACACAAGGATTTCAGCAACCAGTAGCAATTATGGAAGAGCCATGACACAGCTGTTACTTCACATCATTGATACAGACGTACAGAGCTCTGAAGTACACACTATTTTTAGTCATCCGGATGTATTCATGATGAAGATTCAGCTTTCAGCCACTGCAGTTCAGTAATTTTTCTGTTTTGATATCTTTATTTTTTCTCAACATTATTTGTTATTTGATCTTACATTGGTTTCCAGGAACTCTGTCTAGGAATATCATAGCAAAGATAACAGTATCTTCAGCAAAGACATTAATTCATGTGCCTCATCCTGGATCACTTTTTTCTGTGTAGTTTTATACAGAGAGCAAACTGAAACAATCATGGATATAAGCTATGGATGAACATTAGCTACCAAATTTTACTTCAGAAGAATATTGGTAGGAAATTAAGATTATCACAGCAAAAGGACTTGACTTTTTCTGGTGCTCATGAGAAATGCTGATCACCTACATGCTTCAGTAATCCAGCATATGTGTGATAGCTGTTGGATAATTCCGAGTGTTGCCTCTTCAGTCCAACCTTCTTCAACCAAAAGCAGAATCCAAGCCCTCATGTACAATTTCCAAAGTAACAACTACAACAAATCAGATGTTTTAACATATGCGTATAAGGATTCTTCTCAGTCTGATGGAAAGGAGAAATATCAGAGAGAAAGGCCATATCATTCATCAATGGACAACAATTACTTGGCTGGTAGGAGGCTATTGCTCCCTCTGGGAGCAGCAGATCTCTGCAGATAGCAATTAGTGTGGTCAGAATTTTCTTAATACCTGGGATGAAATCCTAGCCATCAAAGAGGGAAAATTTTCTGTCCTATATGGAGAAATATTTCTTCTCATTATGTATGCTGCTCAGCACCGGGGTGATGAATAGCAGGCTTGCTTAGCAGAAGTCAGATTAGAAGAGTCTTCTGTGTTTAGGAATATTTTATTCACCATAAGTCATAAGAGACTGACCTCTTTGCTTCAGAAAATGGTAAACAAAGTAGCCTCTCATTTGTTGACTCTTATGCCTGGAGATGAGAGGTGACAAACGACATCTTGCAACTTGCAGACTTCCATGCAAAGACTGTGAAACACAGCTTTGAGTTGTTTTACACAAAGACAACTTCATTGTGCTATATGAGACTAACTCTGTGATACAACCCGACATCTTCAAAAGTGGAAAGAGCTATAAAAAAATTACACACTCCTCTAGAGTCTGAGTTAATTTCAAGCCTCAAAGTTAACCTTGGAGCCTTGTACTGACTCCACATACTGAAGCTATGGAGTTACACTTCTTATCTCTGCAGCAACCCAACCAATAGCTACTACTTGCAAGCAGAGATTTTAATTTCTCTCAGTGCTACTCACTATTGCATATTCAGCTAAGACAAGCAGTCGTTGCAGCTGTCATAACTTTCATTCCACAACAAAACTGAGGAGATGTTTGTTAAGCATCAAACTCCAGTCCTTGGGACAGCTAACATCTTGGCGAGTCTCCTGCAGCGATATCTGGTGGACAGTCATTAATGTATCAAATTATGCATGCTTGCAATTTGATCTTGACCAACGCAATTTCCTTCCCTTCTTTAGGAATTCTTTCACTGCCTTTATGCCCAAGGGATAGATGGAGAAGATAGCTGTATACAGACTGCTTCAGCTGTGAAGCTAATACTGAAAAGATAACTCTACTTCTGTTTATAGTGATACTCTGCTGTACAAAGCCTCTTTTAACAATCTGAGAAATTCAGCATTAAAAAGCCCACGGGAAAATGTATTTCCATTTATCCAAACTGTCCCTTTTTATAGTTTATTATGGCATATATGAGAGGCAATGGTTTATCTATGGCTGAGAGGCAAAATGACATGTAGAGAGTTGTCATTTGGTAGAATTTGCATCCTATAATTTAGCACTACTTAAGCATTTAAGAAAGCAGATTTTACTTAGCTGACTGTGGAAATTATCTTCACTGTAGAAGTAATATCAAGGGGCAAGAGAGTACATGGACAAGTTTGCCTCTGTCCCAAATTACAGAGCACTTTAGAGTGCAGATTATACACCCCAGGGTAATCTTATTAAGTAAAAAAAAAAAAAAGGAAACTTCTAAGGAAGCAAGTATAGGTTTATTTTTGATAAAAACATTCTGGTTTAAATTATTATTCATACTTGTATGATATCTGTAGAGATTTTTTTTTAGGTATTTGGGAGATTTTACATCTTTTGGGAAATTTAACATCTTTATTGTTTTCGGCAGGCCCTTGGAAGTCAAAGTCATTCATCTCTGAGACAAAATTTTTCTTGCGTTCTGTGAATTTCTGTGAGAGAGTCAGTGAAATGGCAACTGTTGTGAACTACCACCAATTTTCTCTTGTTGGTTTATTCAGGAAAGGTCAAGGGAGTCTGCCAATATAGTAGTTGGACAACATCACTGTTTTAAAGACCCGAATTCTCACTGACACTAAAACAGTAACAGGCGATGAAGCATTAGGAGAAACTGTACAGCAAAAGCAGGATGAAATTTCTGGATTGGACTGAATAGAGAAGAGGGTTAGGAAGGTTTAGGAAGGTAGAGGAAACAAAACCTTATTTCTACTAATCGGTCTTCCAGCTCCAGGGTCTGGACCAAATAACTCCTACTTATGCCTGACATCACACTTCCACTCCAAAGCTGATAAAATAAATGCCTGCAGTGACAGCTTGTGTTACTGAATAAATGGCAAGAATCTGTGTTTCTTTGTACATGTCAGAGGGGGCTGCCCACCTCTAGATTTTTTTCTCCCTAAAAAACAAGCTAGGACATCCAATCCCCTCTGCCCCAGTCATTAAATAGTATCATTTAAGATACAGTGTCAGTTCCTGATACATAAGAAAACAGAAGAGTTAAGACTCTCTGGGCAATCTTTTTTTGTCCCTCCCCATGTGCATATGTTTTCTTATAAACCCTTCCATGACACAGTCATATTTTAGACTTTCCCACAGGATGCATGCCTCATTCTGTACAACACAGGATAATCACACCCAGTGGCAGAAATAAATTAGCATAGCAATCTTAATCTGGTATTTCCTAATTTTCCTAATTTCCTCATCCTTCAATGTCCGGCTGTGCTAATCTAAACAATATTCTTTTAATGTAATTTTTTTATGCTGTCATTTAAATATATGTATGCGCATTTGTGTATCTCTCCATCTATCTGGATCTGTTAATGTATTGGTAAACACAAAAGGAAAAGATAAAAGTTGTTTGTTTTTAATTCTTTTGGAACTGTTTGATCTCTCCTTGCTTGTTTTAGCAGCTGCCTGACTGTTTTTCCTCATATGTAAACTTCAAAGTCAATCAGAGGTCAAAACTTTGGACAAAGACTGAATAACAAAAACAACGGTGACTGGCGTATGTGATGGGAAGAAGCAGAGGAGCTGCGTTGCAGAATATTGCCTGTTTCTGGGCACAGCAGGGGGGAAATTATCTACCTCTTGGTCATAACGTTTCTTGATCTGAACATCTGATGTAGTTGCTGAGGCCTGTACACTTGCCTGGAAATGCATCTCACAGAGAAGTGAAGGGTACAGCCATGTACTGGAGGGCTTGACATTCTCTGGCTATTCTTGGTTCAAGTAATCTGGAAATAGCTTAATGGATTACTGTAAAAATGCTGGAGAAAAACAGCCTTTTAACGGTTTCTCTCGAATGCAGAGGGCTTCAGGGGTGGGTATAGGTTTTGCTTCCCAATTTGTTATTTGCTATCTCTGGTTGTAGGAAAATCAAAGGAAAGGCAAGCCCTGGAGAGGCCGCCTCTGTAGCAAAGTAACGTGGAGCATTTTCTGTAGGCATGTGCAGTCATGGTACAGGATGTGTCTTGAGTTCATGTTTTTTTTTTTCCTCCAGAACATCTGCCTTTCCCTCCTTCATCCGTCTGCGGAATCAGGCCCCTGCTTGTGAAGAGCCCGGCAGAGGGCCATGAGCAAGAGAGAGTCCCCGAGGCAGGGGGTTGTAGCACTGCAACTTGCCTGGCAGCTGGTAAAGCAGCCCGCAGAAATTGGGAACACCTTAGTGATTCACACATCCTCGCAGCAGCTCCTGCCAGCAGAGCCGCTGGAGAGGCCCCAGCAGAGGCAGAGGTGGATTCCACCCTAGAGGTATACATATCTCCCTATATAATTTTTATACATAAGGCCACAGCAAGTCCTCAGATTTTGTGCAGAGATTACAGGAATTTGTGTAAATGACCTACGAGCATATCATCTGTTCTGAAAAAAACAGTCTTTTCCAGTTTAACCAACAGGGAGGGTGGAAATGGGACCAGTGCCACCCTGTCTGTGGAGTGCATCTCCTTGCAGTCTTCCTTGATTTCACAAGTTGTGAACACCTTCTGCTTTTCCTCCAGAAGGCTTCAAAACATGTGATTTGTATCGTAGAGGCCAGAACCGGGCATCCTGGAAGCCATAACTCTAGGAGGCCCCTCGTCAGTCTAAATCGTGAGCGATATTATGGTGGGTCTGAAAATGCCAGAGCAAACCTAGTGATCCTTCTGCAGCATAGTGGTGGGAAACACATAAATTACATTCTATTTTGAATTATTTCAAGTATTTCCCTCAAATATATTAGCTTGTATCTGCCCACGTTCTAGTTAAGCTAAAAGTCAGGCTGTGGACGCTGGGTCTGTGAGCTGTGCCAAGCGATACTGCTCTTAAAGTCACAAGGAAGACACTTTTTTGCTGAGGGAAGTGGACGAGCTTTTCCCAGCTGCACGAATAGCAGGGAGAGGTGTAGCTTGCTACTGGGTGGGAAAGAAGCTGTGACTGGGCTTCCTTGCCACTCGTGGAATGGTAAATGACTATGAGAGTAACAGGAGGCAATGTTACGGGCCTGGCTGGCCGGTGCGATAGGAAGAGCACACCTTTCTCCTACTACGGGCCTCCCTGCAAGGATTAAGAAGAGTTTCAGACTTGAAACTGCTCCCTATTCAAGGAATATATTTAATGTGTGGCTTGCTGTCCCTTGTTAACATGACTAGAAGGAAAATTATTCTCTGTAACTTTTAATTCAGCAACCATTTCCACACAATTCAAGGCTACTTAACATCATGCTTTCCTTTAATTAGCTTTCCACTAGTTTTCCTTTTAGCTGGGAGTGTTAATTTTCAGATAAGCCTCAATGAGTTTTGCAAGAATTGAAATTTTACTCACTTTTGCTTTAGTGATTATTCATCACAAGTCCACCTAATCTCTGCCATTAATGCCAAAGTGAAAAAAAAAAAAAAAACAAAACAAAAAACTAGCAAGAAGTTGGTGTGAGAAAAGAAATGAAGTGTGAAGTATCTCTGCGAAAAGCCATGTAAGAAAGGGATATAAGTGGTATAAAGAGAAGCTAAAGGGATGCAGGAGAGAGCAGCTGGGAAAGAAAAGCAGAGAGGCTGCCGTAGCAAACCAGGCTGTGAGAGGAAGGGGAAGCGGGAGCAGAAATGGCAGCGGGGAGATTGTTTGGTCTTTAAGCAGAGGGTGAGGAGTTTCAAGTGAGGGGTTAAGAGACAGGAAGGAAGCCAGTGAAGGCAAATAAAGAGTGGAGGGCGATACAGTTTATGTAGTGAGAAAAAGATTACTTGAGCAGTAGCGTTGGACATCATGTACTGGTGGACTGCATAAGGTATAATCAGCTTGAAGCAGCAGGCACGATTCTTCAGGAGATGACCTAGAAAAGAATACTTGGTTTAATTTTCATCTTTTTTTAACCCAGGGTCTCTCCATATAAAGGATGAGCATTGTGTTGCCCTGAGCACTAAGTGGAGTGTATTGTGTTTTGTGCATTGTCATTGTTTCTCAATGCCTTTTGTGTTTTGGGGCTCTGAAAACAAAGGTCAAGTACTAGCAAATTCTGTTTTCTGTGAGAGATTTAATTAAATCCTAAGGATAAAGGCAGACTACTAGAAACAGCTATTGAGTGTGAAAATATGTAAATTTGATTACCATTTCTCAATATCAGTTTGTACATAGTTTTGTAATTTGTTTCTTGAGCAATGACAGGAGTATAAACATTTAAAAAATCAAGATAAGTCTTACAGATGTTATTTTCTGCATGGAGGGTAATTGTCTGATACAGGCTTGGAAAGAGATGCAAGGAAACAGAGTGAGGAAGCACACAGAGTAGGACGGAGCAATTTCTGAATATAGTTTTGGTCCTAGTAATTTAGTGAGTTTAATTTGTAGGGCTTGAAATGGACTGGGCTGCCTGAGATTTTATCCTTTATAGACAACAGCAGCAAACCAGAGGGTTTCCACAATTAATAGCACAATGCTAATCAAAACTTCCTCATGAATAACCTGAGTAAATTACCCAGGTAACTGTGCTGTGGAAGGCTCAGGAGTCACTGAGTGAAAAATATTTTTCACTTGTTCAGTATTGAGACAGTATTGTATTAGCCACCTATGCTTTAGAGGGTTTGAATTTTGCCATACCAGCCCGTTTTTTTCTTGCTTAAATAACAAGAAATGAAATAAAATATTTTTAAAAAGCCAAGTTATTGAAACTGAATGCAGTTAATTTACTTACACGTAGAAACCAAGAGATACCATATAGCTGCTCCACTTCAACACACACTGATCCTTCCACTTAACAGGTGATAAGGAAGAAATTCCTGTTCAGCTGGTGATAAGGCTGCGTGGATCTGCCTCTGAAGCAAAGGGGATCATCTTATAAATCTATCCATGTTAGTGCATGAACTTGGGAAGATAGAGAGGATGAAGTCATACATCTATGGGAGCAAGAAACCATCCAGTTTACCCACAGTTTTGAAACTATGTATGAGTAATGCAGCTCCTTCTCCCATTGTAGGATTCCATGTACAGGAAACATCTCACAGACAGTGGGTCTAAAACCAGACAAATCAGACTATACCACAAGTGAGGAAAGGCTGGGGACCCAGAGGTGTGGAGCGGATCACGTTCCAGTGCCCCGAGTCCCTCTGGGGGTTTACCCTTCCAGGGCATAGCTTCAACTCTCTGCAGATGCAAGGGGGGACGTATTTCACAGGGGGAGAAGCCCCCGTGGCAGCCAGGCTGGCATGTAGGGCTTTGGGGGTCACAATGAACCCATTACATTTTACCTGGAAGCTAATCGACAGGCGGTGCAGACCTGCTAGCCCCTCTCTGTTCCACTGAGGCTTTCATTCTCTCTAATAAACAGGCTGTTGCGCTGTGCCAGGGTGGCCTTCTCCCACGCGTCCCGCACGGCTCCGCACCTCTGTGCACAGACATCTTGCAGACACCTATGCTGGCAGACATGACTCATGTTGGGGAGTCTGCGTATGGGGTTTTGCAACAGTCTGATCAGGACATGAAAAAAGACAGTAACAAAGTGTGTGCTCAGAGGTACGAGGCACCCCACCACGTTCACACAGACGCTAGAAAGACGGCCGCTGTGAAATCATCTGCTGGTTGCCAGGGGTGGGGTGAGGGGATTAAAACCTCCACCCAGATGAGAAAAGTGGTGGCATATAGCTGATCACCTCTCCCACTGCACACGAGGTTTCTTTCCCCATTTTCCCGTGGTGTGGCGATCCCTCCAGCGCATCGCAGACGGCTCCCCCTCGGACTGGGTCCAGTCTCAACAAGCCCAAATGACAGGCTGGATCGCGTGGCTCACGTCAAGAGAAAGGGGGGGCTGCAACTCGACAAGGCGCAGGGCACACACCCTCCTGGTAGGGGATGCTCTGGATGCGGGTTTGCAAAGCCGATTCGAAGACGGTTGCAGTTACTGCTGTCTGAGTGATAAGACTGGGATGTTTCAGTGCCTTTTAGGAATGAGTCAAGAAGGAAATAGTAACAGCTAACCAAAAATAATCATGTGGTCATCAAATACAAGAAATATTGGCCACAAGACATTCTTGCCATATTTACCTGCAGTGCAGATAACATCGGTGACCACTGACTGTTATAATTGCATGATTTTTTATGATTGGATGGATTTGTATTTGCAATTGCTATATTCAAACTACTGAAACTACAATTACCATATCCAAACTATTACAGAGTCTGGGCTTGTTTTAGGGAAAAAAGTCTCATGTTTATCCAATTTTAAGTAGTTCCTAACATTCCTTTGCGGTGGCCATGCCATCATTTTCTACACATACGGCCTGCACAGTAAAATGCCCACAGCAATTCAGACCACGTCCCCACCGCGCTCGGCAGATGTGATGGTGTAATCCAGCTGGCTGGAGAACAGCTGCACAAAGCTGCAGCAACACGGGCTTCGGGGCCTGGACAAGTAATATGATGGTTAGTGGAGGCTGATTTTACCGCTGTGGGTACCTCATCTAGCTGGCTAGAAACGGGTAAGTCTGAAGGTGTGGAGCTGTACGCGCCTTTTCTGCACGCACATTTACAGGCAGTAGGACAAACTTCTGGTCTTACAACCTGGGGCTAGCAGGCAACTCAGGTTTGGGGTAAGAGGATGAAACTGCTGCAACTTCAGCCAGGTAGATTATACCATCACGTCTGCCAGCGTGGTGTGGACGTGGTCTGAGTTGCTGTGGACATTTTACAGGGCAGGCAGTATAATGTTGCTGCTTTCACAGTAGTATAAGATGATGGCACAGCCACAGCAAAGGACTGCTGGGAACTACATAAAATTAGGTAAACAAAAGACATTTTCATTAAAACAAACCCAAACTCCATAATAATTTGTACACAGTGCTTGTAGTTTCAACCATTTGTTTAAAAGCACTTACTCTAGTTTTGAATTATTCTTCATTTCATAGTTTCACCAAAATTTGGCACACAAAGAGGAATGATTGCAGAGGTGCAATAATGTAACTCTTTATAAACACTTGTTTTGCATATGCTTTTTCACAGCTACGTTTTCATTTTATGAGGCTCTTGAGGGACAGCTTTGCTTGCCACGCTACCTTTTGTTTCTATGGTAAAGGTGCTAGAACATTGGCTGGAAGCAATTTTGCAAGCATTCGCACGGCCATGGGCCATGAATGAGTCAAACACCTTGTACTTTTTTAATCCGGTGCTTTACAGAGCAGCCTCATCTATTCTTATTGCGCACTATGATATGTTAGGAGTGTCATTACAAATCTACAGTGAAGGGCAAACGTGAATTTTCAGGAGATGGCAGTGCAAGGTTGGACAGAGGATTTTAAATGTAATTCTGCCCTTTAAAAAAACCTCTCTCTGACACAGTCACTGCAGAAGGAAGAGATTACAGATGTAATGTAAGACTCATGAAACCAAGATCATGTAAATATTTTAGAGTGTTTCTAAGCAATGTTTTTTCTACTTGTTTCCTCCGTATTTTCAAGCTCACAGTAATGCCTTTTACCCACATACACCTCCACCCCACATACTCAACGCACAGTTACACCTAGAGGGAAATCCCACAGTTCATCATCAGGGCTAGGAACACCCCTAACAGAGCTTGCTGTGGATTTTGCGTTGTGCACAGACCGCGCTGGGTTCGCAGGGCCGGCTCCTCTGCTGGGCTGAAACCCCGCTCAGTGCTGGCGAGGGAGTAGAAGGTGTTTCTTTGGGTGTCCCACAATTTTTAAATGGATCTCAGCAAGAGGCCCGTTCCCGGCCTTTAGTTTGTCTCCTGGTCAGGTTATTTTTGCTCTCATCAAATTGAGTATCTATGAGCCCACTTCCCAATTCCAAACCAGTTGAAGGCAGTACTGCTGACTTGAAGCAGTCAGCATAATAACGGGGTAAAACTGATATAAAATTGTCTCCTTCTAAGTATTAGGGCCCACACAGCATTTTGCAACAAGACGTAGGAAATTTAGTGTCTTTTATCTTGGAGAAGGGGATAGAATAAGAGATTAACCCCTTGATTCTAGACCTGAGAATGAGCTTGCTCACACTTTCAAACACAAAGTTTTGTTTCTATGATCATACCTATAAAACTTCCATTTGTGGGTTTTGGGTTGTTATGGCCAAATGAAATCAGAATTATAATAAAAATCAAATGTAAATCCTCTCTGTCCTCTAAGACTAGAGTCTCAAAGCTGACAGGTGTGCTCTAAGAGTAGTAGAGCTTTACAAACATAACAGTGGTAGTCTGGTGTAAAATATCTGTTGGTCACTTGTCTAGTGGTATGAGATTAACAGAAGAATTTGAAAATATCTTGAGTGTGGACAAAATCACCAATTCAGCTTCTGTGATTTATAAAAGCCACCAAAAATAACTAAGCTGGCTCATTTATAATTCCTGCAATTGCAATGAATTTGAATTCTTTATTGGTGACTAAACTTTTTTCAATTTTTTTTTTTAATATCTGGAAGATAGTCATATGAAACACATGAGTTTTTAAAAACTGTGTATTTCATGCCATTTGAGTGCCTTAAATTTAAGACACAAGACATACAGAATCACATGAAGCTTCATGATGTAAAATGTTGTGTTGCAAAACTTTATGCTGTATCAAGAACTGCAACTTCCTCTGTTCTGCCCAGAGAAGGACCATATAAAGCCTTCTCCATTTACTCCAACAAAGTTATGAAATGTGTAATTTAGAAGTTAATTATCTGTTGAAGTCTGAAACTGTTAATATTTCCCAGGCCCAAGATAAAAACATGGCTTTTTATGGATCTGACATAGTCTTTAGCAGAGCAAAGCATTTACAGGGAGTGTAGATATTTAGGACAGCGTACATAAAACCAAAGCCAGGAGAATCAAAGCCAGTTTACTTTTAAACTCAGCCCAGTTTACTTTTAACTTTTGTCTTCAGGAGAACAGCTATTTGAGTAAGGACTGCAAAACTAATCCAACCACAGGAAATGTGATATGTGTATGTGGAGGAAATAGGAGTAAGGTGTGGTGGGAGAAATTTGTTCTGGGAGAGAGCGCTTAGCGTTAAGAACTGAAGAAATAAGAAGGAGAATTCTTCTTCTTGTAAGTGATTCATTGCTAGCAAATTAATAGCAGAGCAGAACGTCAGATTCATGATAGCTTAATCTGCAAAGAGGTCTATAATGATGGTAATCACTCATAATGGAAATAAAAAGACACAATATATTATATATGTTTTATATCCTGATAGATGATACCATCAGGAGAATAATGTTTAGCTCATGCTTTAATATACCCCCAACTTTCTGAAACCTTTGTTTTCTCAGGCTATTTTTCTTCCATGGCTTGGAGTTGAGTTTGTTTGGGTTTTTCAAAGATTTCAAGCAAGAAGTACTTGGGCCACTTTTAAGCTCTGGGATAGTAAAAATAAAAAACTTTTTCCCAGGGTAAAAGAAGAATTTCTGGCATCTTAACGTTTTCTGTACCCACCAAGTGGCTTCAGTGGGAAAACAGTATTTGCCATGGAAATTGTCCCTACTGAGGTATGAAGCTTTCAGCATTCCAGTGGAATTTTGTTTTGATTTGATTTTAAATCACTTTGTGAGCTTCTGCCATACATTGGTCACAGGCTTTTTTCCTGCACTTTTAAAGCATAAAAGCAAAGGGAGCCTGCCCTGTATATGCAATTGTGGTTGATACTGGCTTGAGTCATATGGTGACCAGATATTTATCCTGTGGATTGCTATCTACCTCCGGGCTTACAGCTCCCCTCCTTTCCAGATACAGCAAAAGTTATTCTGGGAGTGCCCACACTGCACTGTTTATACAACCATGCCCTTGTCTGCTGGCAGCAAATGCATCTGTGTTTGCACTGGAGCAGACAATCCCATCCAATTTACTTCCTCTCTTGCAACAGTTTGTTTTCAGACCTGACCCTCTCCATCAAACCGGGCCATTGCAAAAGTTCCAGAAGATGATTTATTTTTTTTTGGCCTATTTCTAGCTTGTTCAAGAAAATGAAACAAAGATCCGGGTGCCCCATTTCTTATTCATCACTCACCTCACGCAGGCAGCAGGAACAGTTTCTCCCCAGGGTTCCAGTGCTGGATGAAAAAAACATACTATAGTGCCTGAAAATGTGCTGTGCCATAAGAGGAAACGGCAACTGCCCTTTGTCAAGAAGCTGGGAGACACTGTAATATGCAAGGTCATGTGCCAGGAGCCTCACATCTTTATAAAAGCTAGTGTCAAGCAGAAAAAAACGTACATATTTATATACGTGTATGTATACACTGCCCTGTTTCAGAATCTACAGATGTTTGGAAGATACTACTTTTGTTGTGTACATCCATGCCAAATTTTCTTTTGACTGATCATATCCAAATCTGTCTTCTCTTGCTAGTAATTATTTATTGCCTAGGTCATCTGTATTCTATTCCTATTCTATTCCAGTTCCTACGTTTTGCCTCATCCTGGGAGAACCAATATGCCTTTCCTCAGTATACTACATGATATGACTATATCTGTCACACTTCTTTGCTTTCTCTCTCCTACTGGTGGAGCATTTTAATGTGTTCACTACTCAGAGCACCTGAGACCTCACGCTTACAGTCTGTAATTCCCTGAGGAGTTTTTTCAGCGCATAGCCGAGCCCCCGGGGGAGGGGAGGGGGCTGCTCTGCAGTCAGCAGTGTGACTGTGGCTTTAAATCAGCTGCCTACAGCCAGAAGCATTTGCCACCTAACGCAACGTTTCTTTTTCAGATTTTGCAAGTACACGGAGATCAGTGTTGGTGTGACTTTGTCATTACCTCGTCAGTTTAGGTATGTCTGCATGAACAGTCACCACCCCTTGCCTGAAGCAGGGAGCTCCCGCAAAAGGCCTTTCTGTTGCACAGTTGAGCTTTAGCAACGGTAAAAAGTTTTGCTCAAGGACTGGATTTGTTGACCACAGTCTTCATCTCAGAGCTTCGAGCAATACCAGCCTGTGCTACTACTAAGTGTCCAGAGGACTAGAGCTGAGGCAAACCCGAGGCAATTTTGTATGGCAAAGGAGAGGGTAGTGGACCAAAGGCAGGCTTAATGTAATGTGATTTAACTACTGTACGTTTCACGTTCACTAAATAGGAAGTTGAATGTGAAGGTAGATCACACATTACTAACTTGGCCTAATATGGTGAACAGGATACAGTCTCATTTCTGTCTTGTGTAACTCTTCTGAAGTCAGTAGTTACATCAGAAACTCACATATCCTAGCCTCCTCTCATTCTGAGAGTGTATGCCTTTTAAAGATACACACCCAGCAACAGAGAAAAATCTAGATGGCCTTTATTACAAGCTCTTTCAGTTTTTCTTAGCTTTTTCATGAGGGGATGGGGGTAACAGTACCTGCTCAGGGAGGGCTGAGGTAATACTTGTCGAGTATTCTACTGCTCTTGTGTTCGTGCTGCTTGCTCATTTCCTGAAATGGGCACTACTGAAACCTCTTCTGATGCACGGTCTTATTATTCTAATGTACAAAAATACTATCTACATTATAAGCAATATTACATGTACTTTTTATAAGTATGGTATACTGCTTTAAAGGAAGCCAATATAGTAATTCTACAGCTTTCTGACTTTCTGCATTTAATAGGAAATCACAATCTCTGGCAAACAATAAGCTCTTAAGACAGTGTCAATTTGTCTTATTTGTATCACACTACAAGAACATTTAAATATCTTATAAAATAGGCTAGACAACAGGAAATGAGGACTATGATTCCTGTTTTATTAAGGATTATCAGTTTGCTTGTTCACTAAGCATGGACATAAGCTTACATAGGGACACTTTCAAGAATTAGACTACATGCTTTTGAAGAGAGAAAAAATTATTTTTCAGGATTGCATGCTTGATCAGCTCAATGTTATCAGGTCATACATATGTTAAATAATTTCCACTTCACTCAACAAAAGCTAGCTCAATTCCAAAATATGCGATGCAAATGGAGGAAGAAGAAATTACCCATTTTCAGTTTATTTGTTATCAGGAAGAAAAAAAAAACAAACTGAAACATTGTGTTCAATGCACTGATTGGTTACGTAGGATGGAACTTCAGATGATTTCTAAGTGGCCAATGCTAGAAATACGCAAGTTCCCAATCATATAAATACAAATATTCTGACCGAAGTTCATGAAAATGTGCTTCAAGATCCAAACACGTGAATGAGCGTTCACTGGATTAGGAACTATTACATTACACTCTCAAGTTACAATGTGAGCACTCTATCACACCAGACACTTAATCCATACCTGCTTTTAAAATTAGAATTTATTTTCCTTTTTGCTCTTTGTAGTCAAAGCCTCCCTTTTACATTTTCAAAGCAGTGCTCAGAGTTTCCTAGACAGCTGGGTGAAGTACCTCCCACACAAATTCTATTTGAGACAGACAGACAAGCACTTTTACTGCACTACAGTCGTGAGAAAAGTGCAGTCTGACAGACGCGTTTGAAACACGCCGTGTTTGCATGCAGTTGAACACATACACAGCAGCTTCCCTCACCACGAACAGTGCAAGAGGGACTCGGGTGTGTTGGCCTAGAGGCAAGACCCTTCACTAGCAAATAAACATGTGAGTGTGGGCCTGTCCGATGCCAAGTTCTCACATCTCAGTGAATTCTCCAAATTGCCAAGCCAATGGGACAGTGCTTCTCTCCACTTACTGTTGAAGCTGGGCCACGGTAAAAAAAAAAAAAAGGAATGCAAAGATGCCAAGGGCAAATGACACTGAGACCCCTGTAGCTTTGTGGCAGGGAGGCCTGGAGAGGATGGAAGAAGTTTTGCATTTCCAAGAGTACCTATACATTTTCCCACAGGCATAAGACAAAACAGATAAATTGGCACCTGGGGCACAGCTCAGGGCTTGTGTCACGACAGGGTGATCCTGCCCACTGAGCTGCAGATTCAGGCTTCCTCTTCCTTACTCTATTACAGGCCTCATTAATTTTGCATCCTTTACAGCTAGGTGCTTTGAATCACCCTTCTGAGGCCTGGCATCATCCCTGTGTATGTTTTAATGCCTAAACCAGGTGCCCAGGAACACTGCGAACCAGGCTCTGTATCTTTAATGACAATTTTCATCTTGCTTAATATGAGGACTGTAAGAAGCATTTTATTTGTATTTTAGGAATTATTTGCTGCATCACATATGAAATGATCCCAAGCCTACACCCTGTAGCTTGCAGAGTACACGAGATGTTCTCCTTGGACTGTGGTTGTTGAAATGGAACATCTGCATTTCCAAGAGCGACCAAACCCTCCGAATCAAAGGGCTGTGGTAATATATAGCACAAAATGAGTGAAAGTAAACATGAGTGTAACGTTGTTGTAGCATGTATTTTTGCTTTAACCCTACATACTTCTCATTAGAAAACAAAAACAAAGATGTAGGCAGCTGTGGACAAGAAAAAGCAAAATGTAAAATGCCATTTTTTTTTTTCTCCGAATAAAGCAAGATAGCAAGTAGTAAATATCCAAGATCTAATAGCTCAAATGCCCTAGCACTTGGCTATAGATCATTTGTTTCTTAGCCATCACTTTGAAAATAACTCATAGCGCTGGTGATTCAGGTTTGCTACTGGCAACTGTTCGGTGACCAGAGATTGATTTGACAATCTCTACGTAATTTTCAGTAATCCTTGTAAAAACGCCATTATCATTTCTGGAACTGCAGTGGAAGTCACAAGAACTGAACCGGTACAGCGTCCTCTGTCTGATATTATTTCAAGTCATTACTTTACTGGAGTTTCCTTATTTGAAGAAATGGTCCCTGCTGGGAGTCCGAGAGCGAGGTTTAAACTGGAAACGCCAAGACGCACCGCATGAGTTGCAGGTTTATCGCTGTACCTCTCTATTCTTTCCGAGTTAGGCGTGCTACCTCGCACCGATACCAGGACATAAACTGGAGCGCTCTGGACTTGCGGTGGTGGGGAAAGCGGCCTCTCCCTCCCCGGGCACCCAGGGCCGCAGGGCGGCTGCGGCTGGCAGGGGCCTCAGCAGGTCAGCTTCTGCAGCCCCCCTGCTCCAAAGCAGGGCCGGCTGCCCGGGGCCGTGCCCGGCCGGCTTTTGGCGAGACCCTAGAAGCTCCCTGGGCACCCTGACCCCCACAGGCACCCGTCCCCTCCCAGCCCCAGCGCAGCGCCCACCCGCGCAGCTTCCCGCGAGCGGCCCTGAGGGGCCGGCCGGCAGCGGGGGCAGGCGTCCAGCGGGCAACGTCCCGCCCCCGGCGCCGCCCCCGGCCGCTTCCCCCCGCGGAACGCGCAGCGCCCGCCGGCTCCGCGCACGCCTCCGCCTGCCCCGCCGCAGCGGCCATCGGGGGGGGGGGGGGGGGGGGGGGGGGAGAACCACGGAGCCAACGGGGCCGGGGGTAGCGCTTTCAGCCCCCCCGCGCTGCCAAACCCGCCCCGCCCCCACCGGAGCCGCAGCCGCTCCGCACGCGCCCCGCCGCTTTGGCGCGCGCCGCCCACTCCCTGCTCGCGCCCTCCCGCCCTTTCCTCCCCGCGTCCCGGCGGGCGCGGCGCGCGCGCGCCCCCTCCGACCGTTGAGCGGCGGGTGGGGAGGGGGCGGGGCGGGGCGGGGCGGAGAGCGGCGGCCGCGCGCGCCCCCGCCTCGCGCGCATACCTTCTGCCTCCTCCTCCTGCCCCCTCCCCGCCCGTGCGGGAGCCGTTCTCTCCGCGCATGCGCTCTGCGCCGCCGTCCTCAGCCTCCCCCCCTCCCACCCCCCCCCGCTCCGACTGTTCAAACAGGAAGGCGGACATGTTGGTGTCTCTCGCAGGTTTCCTCACAGCCGCGGCGGCCGGACCTCACGCTCTCCCCTCCCCTTAAGCCACCTCCTTCCCGCCTCCCTCTCACGCTGCAACCTCGGCTCGGTCCTGAAGTGGTCCCGGGCTGCCGCCCCGTGCGTGAGGCGGAGGAGCAGGGCGGGGGAGGAGCGGTGCCGGCGTTGGCAGCGAGGAGCCGCCGGCGGCCGCGCAGCGAAAAGGAGGAGGAGGAGGAGGAGAGAGGAAGAAAGATGCTGTTGCCGTTGATCCGTCGCTGAAGTGACTCGTCCCCTGCCCGCGGGGGGCACTCGCAGCGGGGGCCGGGGCGGCCTGTGCGCGCAGCGGGCAGGGCACCGCCGCCGAGAGGGGCAGCCTCCCCCCGGCCCGCCCCGGGCTCCCTCGCCCCGTGCCCATGGAAGGACCAACCCCACGGCGCTGAGACACCGTCGAGAGGATTTTCCTACGGGTTTTTTGTCTTCTAATTTTTGCTTTCTTGGTGTGCTTGCAGGGTTTTGGCCGCCTCCCGCCCCCCACCCCCCCCTTTTTTTTTTTTTTTTAATTTTTTTTTTTTTTTTTTACTTTTGCGTTGTTGCTTTTTTCTTCTGGCTTTCCGGAAAGCAAGCTGCGCCTCGGAACCTGGCACCCACCCGCCGCCGCTCCCGCAGGGCGAGGAGGAGGAGGAACCGCTACACTGGCTCCCAGGGCGGCTTCCCCGGCTGGGAAAATGCGGTTGCTGAGACGCTGGGGCCCGAGTAGAGGAGGGAGGGAGAGGAAACCTGCTGCTGCGGAGTTGTGAGCAGCCCAGGAAAGTGCGTGCGTGCGTGGAGACAGAGCCTCGTCCCCCCCCGCTGCGGACTCTCCTTCGGTTTTCTCTCCCCTTGGCGGGGCAGCGTGGGGGACTTGCCTCAGAGACTTCTGTGATTGAAGGGATTTTGCAGGAAGCGCTCCTCAGCCTGGTATAGGCTGTGTGGTTTCTCTTTTGTGCTCGCTTGTTCCTGTTTTTTTACTTTTTCATTATTTTTAACTTTACTTTGCTCTGGAATAAGGGAAACTTTTTATCTCCGGAAACATGTCGACGGGAGAAAGTTTTGAGTCTCGGTTTGAAAAAATCGACGTGACTTTAAAGGACCCCAAATCCGAAGTGAACGTGGACTGTTTGCTGGTGAGTAGGGAGCGCCGATGGGCCCCCGGTCCCGTCTCCCCGAATTTCTTACCCTGTGGGACCGAATCTCGCAGTCCTGGCTGAGTCACCGCCCTGCTTAACTTCGCGCTAGTGTTTTGTTTACTCAGCGTTGAGCTGAGGGTGCGTGAATGTCTCAGTGCAGGGAGAGCGGCTTTCATGCCAAGGAGGCGCCCGCCCAGTCCTGCTTCAGACTTGTCATCTCTCTCTTTTCACGCACCTCTCTCTTCTTCACCGACTGTCATAAGGGGCGGTGGACACTTTGTACAAAGGCGTAATTCGTGAGTGCCAGTCCTGTGTGTGAGCGGAAGACTAATAGCTTTGATGTACCAATTCCTTCTTCAGCAACTTTTTTAAAAATTTACTTGTTAGGAGTGAGGTCCTCTTATGTTGTGGTTAAGCACTCAGCCTGTTTAGCGTAGACGTTTGTAAATGCTATCTAATGACGTGTAAAACACCGCTCTAAGGTTAATATGCCCTTATAGGTGGGGAAGTAGTCATGGCAAGGGTTTAAATGCATTATAAACTAGTTGGTGTGCTAGGCCTGGGTAAGAGGGCTGCTTTCTTACTGTTTTCCTACTTGATCATACCTGATGGTTCAGTGGATCTCTCCAGCGCTGTCAGTGTTATAATTGCATCATAAGAAAGCAAACTATAATGCTTCCTGACAGAAACCCAACATTGTGTAGTAGCTGCTTGACAAAAGTGGATGATATTTCAGTTCTGATTATAAAAAGTACCTCAACAAAGTGTATGCCAAATCCAACCAATTTGTCTGGGATGTAGCTGGGTACTTAAATGTGCCTAGAGATGCCCTCAAATAGTAGTAAATTTTAATTTGTGCTTTTATGCTGAAGTACAGAATTACTTCTCTTTGTAGCAAGTGATAAAAGTTCTGTAGTGTATTTTTTTTTTCCTGGCTTTCTGTTGTCAGAGAGGAGAGCAAGTAAATTGAATTTGTTCCTAGTATGAACTCTGATGTTTGGGTTTGGGGGTGGGGGGAAGGGCCGTGTGGGTGTGGAGATAGCTCTTAATAGTCGTTTGTCATCTTTTGCATGGCTCTTAGCAGAAAGCTGGCTTGAGCATAAGGTGGTGGAGAGGTGAAAAACTAAGAATCCGTCCAAGTTCATGATACAGTGTACTCTCTTTAGCTTATTACTGATTTGTGAGCTTCTGAGGTGTTGACAGGTGAAACCTATATCCCTGGTTAAAAGCAGAGCCTTGTGGATGTTGCTGGTACAAGGGAAGATAGCAAAGCATCTTCCAGTTAACTTGTTTCTTTTAATGTACTTATGTTACTTAAATATTTGTCATCTTAGAGCCACAGCTAATGAGAAGAGCTCTGATACTTAGGATGTACTGTGTCAATTTTGATAACTGAAGACTACTGACAAATCTGATGTTTTTGCACCTAGCTTCTATTGCTAGATGTCAAAAGCATAGATCTGATTAAGAATCCAGAGTTTTATGTTAACCATGACTTGATTTCCTAGTATGTGCTTTAACGCTGGCCATACTATGGGGACCTTCCTACAGTGATGGTAAGGAGACTGCAGGTATCAAATATCCAGTTGGTAGTATATTTAACTGTATTTCTTCACCTTTTAATCAGTTTAAGAATTTGCTCCTTTTCAGTTAATCTTAATTGTGATTTGGAGCTAAGTAGTAGTCAATTTAGAAATGAACTTGTTGGGATGCTTCCTGTCATGCTTGTATAAAGTTTTAGAACATGTTTTTGCATATCAGATCTTTAGAATGTCATTTAAAGTGACAGTTTTTTTAGATACCTGAGATTTTTGTGCATACCTTTTGCATGTTCTTTAAAAGGCCACTTCTTATGGTATTGTCATCAGAACCTCTTCGCGGTGTTTTTTGTTTTTTTTTTTTTTAGGTAGTCCTACTTACAGGTACGGTTCTTTTAAACTATGCCAATTAAAAAAGTGTTTTTTTCTGAAGAAACTGCTGGTAGGTTAACTTTGTGTGTTTTTGGTCACTATATCAATCTCTGCTGGCTGGACTTTTACTTTGGTTCATATCTCATTCTGAGTTGGTTCTTGGGCACTTTTGTATAAAATTTATGTATCCTAACACTTTCTAAAGAGTTTAAATACTTTATACCGGCTCTTAGTGTGATGATTCACACTATAAGCATCACTCCTGGCCCAAGGTACTATTTATGTATCAAATCCATTGTAATCTATGTGGATAGGTTTTTAAGGAAGAAATGCTTAGATGTAGGTGTAATTGATCTGCACTTAAAATATCTTCTAAGATGAATACTCCATTGCTCACCCCACAGCCTCTGGTTAAAGAGGGAAATTTGTCAGGCTTTAGGCCTGGTACAATTAAAAATAATGTGAAATAATGTTTTTATGGGAAGTCTACATACAGAAATATTTTTTTTATAGAACCCTTTAAACCTAAAAACCTTTTTTCCTTTATTCAGAGATGTGGATTGATGTTACTTATGATTGCTTTCACTTTTGCTGAGCAGAGGTGTTAATTTCGTGTGTATCTGAGTGGTAATATATGAATAACTGATACACAGACAC